ATCTTCATTCTATTCCTTTTCCTTCCCTCACATTTCACACAAATTAAACCCTGACATTATTATAAACTGTGCACTATGCAGTACATCAGAAAGGACTCCTCCAGAAAGAGATTACCTCCCATTTCCATTCTTATCGGTAAGCCTAGACTAACCACCGTCTTGGTCATCGGCGCCGTCGCCGTCACTTTCCTCATTCTCTACCTGACAAGATCATCGTCCAACGCGTCCTTATTATGCTATGACTCTTCCGACGTGCCCTTCACCGAAGCCGACGCCCTCATTGCGGCGGAGTTTGAGAAAACTCCGAGCCCTCTCGTCGCCATCCTCCACTACGTTACCTCTCCTGTGACTCCCCAGCTATCTCTGGCTGAGGCCCGAGGCCCTTTCGACATCCTCCTCTCCCTTGCTCCCTGCAACTTCCTCATCTTCGGCTCCGGCCATGACTCTCTCATGTGGGACTCATTCAACCCTCATGGCACCACTCTCTTCCTCGAGGAAGACCCCAAGTGGCTCCGGTCTATTCTCCGCCGATTCCCGGTCCTAGACGTCCGAATAATGCGCTACGGGACTCGCCTCTCCGACGCGGACGCTCTCCTCAGCTCCTACAAAGAGGATTGTTGGGGGGCTAATGTTACGGTAAGATTGAAAGGGAACGAAGGGTGCAAGTTGGCTCTGAACAACATGCCGGAGGAGGTGTATAGTAAGGATTGGGACATTATATTGATCGACGGGCCGAGAGGGTATGAGGCGTCGTTGCCGGGGAGGATGGCGGTGATATATTCGGCGGCGGTGATGGCACGTGGGCGGAAGAAGCCGGGGTGACGCACGTGTTTGTTCATGACGTGGATAGGAAGGTGGAGAGAACATACGCCAAGGAGTTTCTGTGTTTGAAATATAAAGTTAGTGAGGTTGGGAGGCTTTGGCATTTCGTCATCCCTCCTGCCATTAACTTCGACGATCATGGCTTTTGCTAATAATGAATTTTAAGTTTTTATACAAATCAATGGAATTACAAACTAATGCATCTAAATTATATCCTCTTTTCAATCCTATTACTCTTTGGAAGGAGTGCTCATCACCCAGATAAGCATTTCAAACTTATAAATCTTGACCTTCTAAATCTGGTTTGAACAATTCAAATTTAAAATTTTTAATTAATTATGTTAAAATAAATTTTTTAAAAAATGATGATTAAAAGATTATTTTTATTTTAGATTCTATACCCATTAAAATAATTATTTTAAACAAATAAAAAAATCAAATCTGACAATCCACATTAGATCTGGACAATCCAAATCTGATGAGTTTGAAGTGATGAACACCCAAACTATTTCAGAGTATCCACTACGAGCAATAGTGACTAATACTCTCGTATCGTAAATTTTCGGAAGTGGCCTTATTGCTGGCCACAAGGCTCTCTCCACATATATCGCTAAGGATTGAACCCCTGACTAGATGTTTAATGAACCCAGCCAAGTGCAGTTAGAGATTGAATTTGGTCATAAATATAATAATTTACTCTATTTTATCCTTCATATTTATTGTTTTTTCAGATCAATTGTAGACACATAATCTTATGTTATATAAGGTTATTTTAGGGGATTAGATTATATATTTGTTATCATTAACTAATTTATCAAACTCCTTAATTTATTTAAATTACTTAAGTAACTCTTATATATTAGAGGAGAGGGAGCAATGAGGACCTACGACATGTTTTATATCATAACGCGTTTTGTCTAAAAGCTTAATTTTTTCCACCTAGCATCTCTTTATAAAAACTTAACTAATTAATCAAACTTGTCTAAATAATGATTTTTATTGAAAGTAATTCTAGTATTTTATAAGAAATAACTAATTTTAACTAATTGCATTAGTTATATGTCAAGTTATTATTAAGTTCTTTATATTTATAATAAAGAGCGAAATGAGTACTATAATTAGACCCCTTGGTGAATTCACTTGTTGAGTAGATTCAAGCAATCTAAATCTAAAAATGGTGATAGGTAAAAATAAATGATAATAAAATGAAAAGACTTATAAAGAATGCAATGAAATACGGGAAATATTAGGTGCTCATTTAGAATGACGATAGATTTTTTAAAAGCAGCTTTTTCATTATGGTTTACAGAATATGATATAAGTATATAAATACTTAATATGCAGTTCCAAACAAGCCAAGAATATAGACTAGAAAGAAAACTATTCAAGAAAGAACCAATCCTAAAATTATTCAATTAATGCCCATACTAATCATGTACATGCACATCAGCTTTAGATTAACATTGTTTAAACGTGAGTTAAATTGGTCAGGGACCAAATCGTGTGCGTGAAATGTTTTTATATAATCCATAAATTTTCTATATATTGTTTTAACATTGTTTTAATTCAGTTTCTCTTTAATTTTTATATAATCTTTTTGCAATTTTGGTGTATTCTCTGTGTAATCATGGTGCAATCCCAACATCTAATTATTGGGTCAATGCATGAGGTTGATCATAGTTTAAATGTAGTAGATAATCTTGAATAGAGGTAAAAAATTTTGACCAGAGGAATAGAGGTAAATTTATTATTCATGAATTAATTTTATTATATATAATCTTGAAGTGAAACACATTATATTATTTGCGAAAAATAAATTGTTAAATTTTTTAATAAAATCACAAAACAAATGCTGCCCCGTTGACGAAAGGTCCAGAATCAGCCAATGGACTTGACAGTGAATTGATTTCAAAGTAACGTCTTGGTGGAGAGACCTGAAGATTGCAGGAAGCTGAGATCATACAAGTGAAAATGTTTAGGTACCTTTAGCTCTAGATCCCATTTGGTATGAAATATTGAAAATAAAAAGTATGAATAGGGATTAAAATTAAAAAAAAATTATTAAAAAAATGTTTAGCAAGAAAAATTGCTCGTTATATCAAAATGGACAAACCCATATAAGTGGAATTAAGAAGTACCATAGAAGGAAATGGTATTTCCCAATCCCACTTCCATGGGTTTGTTCAATCCCATGTAATAATAAGTAATTATATCAACTGTGATCTTAATATTGTAGATTTCTAAAAAGAAGTGATACAGACAAGTGAAAATGTAACTGTCATCTCTTCTCTTCCTTACATCGTGCATTGACTAATTAAATACAGAGGATTTAAATCCAATTGGTGTAATGCTATAATGCTATAATCCATCCCTAACAGCATTGTGATATTTACAGAGTAAACATTCACATACTGACTAGAAAAATAAAAAAAAGTGAACACTATGCATGTATAGAGAATGGCATTCTACGCCCTACTATTTACTGTGTAGGCAGATAGGATCAAGTATATCAAAAGTCGCAAAGTACCATTCTCTCCTCAAATGCGAGCCGCTGGTGGAGTTGCCTTTGGTGAGCAGAAAATTCCATGAAAATATCCCTAAGGTCACTGGCCATCTTGAACTCTCGAGTTCCAACACGAACAATCTTTAAATCAGTTCTCTTTCCATCACATTCTTTTTGCAATGTCTTGTTCTGAAGAATGCAATTCTCAATCAGAAATTTTGACTACACAATGAAGGGAAGATTGCCACGATAAACCTTCAAACAATTTACCAACAATAATTACGTGTAAAACCCACTCCAAATCCCATATTTAGAGCCCACGATCCTTTGCAAGTTATTGAACGATTCAGTTCTGAATCAAACATTTTGATTACACCTTGCAGGAAAGAGACAATTGATAATTCTTAACTTCCGTATAATCAACTTTCAAAACACAACTTTAGATGATGAGAACATATGTCTAGATGACTTCTATTGCGTTGGGCTCAAATTTGTCATTTTCAAACTTGTTCATTTGCAGGAGACAAAGTACTAAGTGTATTCAGATCAAAGATTGCGACAATAAACTTTCAAAACAATTTACCAACAATAATTACATGTAATTGTATGAAGTGGACTATCTTTAGCCTAATAAGAGAACAAAGCCCCCAGCTCATCGCCTTTGGATGCTATTTATACTACGGGTTTGTTATAACAAGAAAACAAGAGGATTCTCACAGCATGAATGCAGAGAGGCAAAGTGGAACTTCTCACAAAATAAAACATCCAAGTACATTCCTATCAATCAAAACTAAAATGTTTTAAATGACAATATATTACTTTCTTAGCCTTCAAATATTCCAAACAGTCATAAAAAGATTAGAATGAATTAAGTAACAACTAAGCGGACCGTGTTAATTGTGACTGTTCACACATTGTGAACAGTATGATTTGCCATAGATTTTTTGAACATATAAATAATACATATAACAGTTTTTGCGGCCTAAAAATACTCCTATCCATCCAAAGAACAAAACACCCAAAAATAAAAAAGAACCACAAAAATAAGAGAGAGAGAGAGAGACACGAAACAGAGAGCAAACAACTCAATCCAAAAACATACATATGACAGCAACAAAGGACGAGAAACAGAACTCAAAACGGAAGAAACCAGCAAAACACGATTTACATATCCTCAGCCTATACATCCCTTACAGCAGCTACCAAGATAGGCTTCACACTATCACAGGACCTCAGAAAAGGGATGGTGGTAACTGATAAAGACACACAACTGCTAAGCAATCTGCAACTTTGTTACCTTGGTAGGAACAAGGAAAAATGAATAATTGAACTAAAATGCCTAAATTGAAAACACTTCTCCTCCCTTCTCCAGTCTTCTCAGTCCTAACTCCAAAACAACAGGATAAATCATGCTTTCCCAGCAAGCTTATATATTATGTTGAGGTTTGGCCCAAGATTAATTTCCACCTTGTGGCTTAAGCTTAAGCATCCTGTGAACGATCAAGATTTTGATGACAACAAAACTTTGAAAATTGTGCTCGACAGATCAGATCATTTGAAGTGGTTGAAAAATACATCAACAGGTGAAGATTGGATTCATAAATCTTTATCATCTTTACTAGTAATAGTAGTTGTTATAGTTTAAGCTCGGAGTTGTTCTCACTATGCTTTTTGTCAAGTTTCATGCTGAAGGATTTGACAAAACTTTGTTTTATTGTTGAAGTATTTGATTTCGACTTTCTAAGATATCAGAAGTTCATAACAGAAATCTATGAGTTAATATTCGAATATTACTATTCTATTTGAACTGAGAATGATTTCTCAAAAATCAACTCAGTCACCTGTATACTTCATCGTCTACACAAGTTCAATATTTAGAGCAATATCTTTGTATTAACCATGCTTAGTCATTTACCTTAACACAGTCAAATATTCTGATGAAGAATTTGTTGAAGCTATTCAAGGTCATTCACCTAGCCATTTCTTACAAAGCTAAATGACTTTTCGGATGGCTTCATCAGTCGCCTACTTGTCCATAATCTACTATTGAATCGAGCTTAATAAACTGTGATATAGCTGTTAGAGTTACAACTTTAACCTTGAATTTATTCTATGTTAACTCGAGCCAAGTAGCATTCAACCTCAAGTTGCTATTGCTTATCGGTCACTGGTTGTTGCTTGACCTGAGGTTAACCTTTATCAACTCGAGCCATAAACCCATTTTTGAGAATAGCCTTGCTCAAGTCAAGTCAAGTTTGTTCTAACCTGAAGTTACTCTCTTCTAGTGTAACTCAAATCTTATCCAACCTGAGGTCAACCCAAGCCAAGCACCGCGCCCTAGAAATTCTTCATAGACAACTGGAGTCAGTTAATTCTAATTGGAAGTTGCTTATAAGAAAACTTGAGCCATCCAATATTCTTGACTTAATCTTATCGCTATCACTCTCAAATATCTAAAACACTTACCGTCGATGACATTACTTGACTGTATCATTTAAAAACATCAAGATTTTGTGCCTTAGTTCATAGCCAACTAGAGTGAGATTTATATCAACCGAGTCAGAATGCTCTGTATCTCATAACAACATCTTGGATTTTTCAAATGTTATCTAACTTTAATAAAAGCTATTCCAAGCCTTCCCTAAATGTGTCTAAGTGTCATATAACATATGAGAACATATTAAAACACATTTTACCGACATTAAAGCAATGGATTTATTATGAAAACAGACAGATGCATTTAATAATTCTCAACAATCACACGCTTTAGCTCCAATGGAAAGATTGTTGAGTCTAATGGCTATTCAACCAGCTTCAACTATAAATAAAAGAGCATTTAAGACAGAATAACAACCTTGAAAAATTAAACGTGCTGAAACTCTGTTTCATTAATGTCACATTCAAAGCTCCAACACCTATACTCCCTATGCTTCAGCGTTCATCATTACTCATTCTTGAAAGTAAGAGTTCAGTCATTGCAATCATTTATTACAGGTTGCAAGAAGGTTACATTACAAACTTGAGGGATCTGATGTGAGTGCAAAGGCTTCACAAGTACCCATTAACTCAAATACCATGTTAAACTTGAAAGATATAATATATTGAAATCTCAAGAGGTTCTTGGGGATTAGACATAGATAAAATATATTGAAATCTCTTTACTATTTAAGTCTTTGATTTCAAGTTTCATTCACATTTTTATAATAACCCAATCCACCCCGTCCTGAGTGTAGTGCTAACACTTTGAATGATGCTCTCAGGAAGATTTAGTATTTGCCTACTCAATGATTAGTTGTCTACTACTTTACTGCAATTATTTCCAAAATATACAGTAGGCGTCTATCCCGAGACAAGATTATCAGGAAAAGATTACTCCATTGAAAGGGAGTGAGGATTATTTGGCCTAGAAAAGAGGTCAAGTGAACGTATTGTGGCTTTACAAGTACCCAAATCGAACTTGTGGAATTAGTGGAAAATCTCAAGTGAGGAGCTTGGGGTTTGGATGTAGGCTCAAGTTGAGAATTTGAACCAAATGAACCTAGTGTTTGATCTCCTCATCTCGCACTATCTTACTTTGCAAGTATATACACATTTTATACTTTGTTTCATAGACCTTATATTGTGCTATCACTTCTTTATCATCTGTACAGAAATTTTAAGTACCCAATTCACCCCTTCTCTTGGGTAAACTAGCCACCTAACACATCCGAGCGTTTCAAACTCTTTCATAGCTTGTTTAGTTGTCTCACAAACAACTTGTGTGGCATCCTAAATCTAATTGAACCAAATTATATGAATGAATAATCTACAATAGCCAGTGCTCCTCATGAAACTATTCCGGGCAAGAATGCTCTTTAGCCCTTCGAATAATGGATTAAAACACCACAAAAATTTGCATACATGTGAAACAAATCATTTATTTATTAGCCATAATTATTTCCACCAAATTTTAAATCAGTAGCACGAGGTGGTTAAGCAATAACATAGACAAATCACAAAGGCGTTGAATGACACTTTAAACCATAAGAACAAATCGTAAGGCGTTCTAAAAGAATTTTCTATTGGCTAGATGCGAGATACGATGTTACCTTAGATGCAGGCATTAATGTTCCAATTGATGCTTTGATGTTTTTAAGCCCCACCACCTCTTCAGTCATCACCCATGGCCTGAAAAAGATAAAGGTACATTTCTCGCCACTTCACAAATAAATGGCCTAATTTTAAAAATTCACGTTTTATAATCAGTTCGTAACGATTACATTATTGACCACACAGACAACCACTTTGCAGAACAACTAAATCAACTAGAATACTATAAACCAAAATGATAATATTTAATTACGAAGATAACATGTTTATCAAATATATATTGGGCTAACGAAAATCAATATCATAAACACAAAAGAATCTAAAATCAATTAAAGCCACTATTTTCAACACAAAATGATAATACTTTTAGCTCTTACATTGAAATGCATGACAAATAACTAGTTCGTAAACCTGCAAGAATTTTTAACTCTCAAATACAAAGTTAGCTCATGTCATACCAATTTGACTGTCCAACATTTGAAATATCTCTTAAATGTAAACTAACATTTAAGAAAAAAAGCAGATTGCATATAGCGCCAGTCCACTAGATGAAGCAATTATAAAGGAGAGCTTTGCATGGTAAATCTGCCTATTTTTGTAATCTATTGTACACCAAAAAAGGGAACTGTCAATTCCAAACACACCTTCCTGTTGAAGACATCACTATCTGAGTGGGGTCGTTCAAAAAGTTGTGAAGCTTTTCAAAATCTCCTTTACTATCAAAGACAAAGGCCCCTCTAGTAAACAACTCCGACGATAAACTCGGAAAAATGTACACTCTGGGTGATACAGAGATGTGTCTGTATAAGAATTCTTCAATTGTTGGTGGAGATAAAGTTTTATCCAGATTCCCAACTAATATCATAAATAAGTTTTTCTTCCCACCAAGATCTCTATCTTCCAGTCTTTTGCTAAGAAGCTTGGCAATCCTATCTGCTTTAATTCAAAAAAAATAAAATAAACAACACAAAAAAGAAAATGCATCACATTTAAGTTAAATGAATAAGAAAAATGGTGGTGAATATGACATATACGAACTTTCACATGAAGATGGATTTTTACTGATTGACCGCCTGGTACAGCGAGCATCCTACACAGCCAAATAAGATATTACACACTAAAAAATAACCACAAAATAGAACATGCAACATGAATACATTTTGTCAGAATGTAAGCGACTCCCTTCAATCTTAAAATAGTAACAAGATAACTAATTAATAGAGATTAAAGAAACTAGTTGTTAATTAAAAATGTGTGTTGATTTTCCTAAAATACCCTCTTTAATCATTTGTATTGAAACCACCCCTTAAACCCCCCTTTAAATGTGAATTCAATAGGGACAGTTTGTGAAAAACATTATAACCTTAGAAGACAAATTGAGGTCATACAATAGAGTAAACCTCATAACTAATTCTTATATTAGGACTGAAAGAAGTAATAGTTAGCGCTTTCAACAAACATAAAGAGGCATATGACTTGCCATGTATAGGCGCTCAAGAAAACTACTTTTCTGTTTAATATTTTGGCTTCCATTGCAGGGCTGTACCACTTCCAATCCACTAGCTCCCTTGGAAAATGAAATAGAATTAGCAGTAACTTTAGTTCTTTCCCTTGCAATCTTCAGAAATGAAGCCACTACGGGATCCAGCCCTGAAGTTGGCTGAATTTTGCAAACATCTGCTACAGTGGCATTACTGTAAATTCCAGCTACAGGTCCATGTAACCAGAGAAGTGTATAGGTGCATAAGCACTCTTCCTCTCCTCCGTTGAAAGAATGTTCCTTCTCTTGCACCTACCAGATCAAGCAAATAAGAAGGGAGCATGTAAGACATTCCTGGAAATACCTTCCCACCCCAATAAGTCAGATTTGCATTCTAATAGAATTTAGACTTCAGCAGTACTAATGTCATTTTAAGAGTAAAATCAAATATTGCTCAGCTCAAGAAGAGTTGGAGAAGAAAAATATTAAATAGGTTGAGAAATTAGTCATTAGATGTAGGCCATTCAATAGCTTGAATGCACAGAACAGCAGCCACCAACAACAGAGTATATGTTAAAGAATAAATTAACCCCACCCCATTTCCCACTGAAGAGAGATGAAAATATAGCTTAGGCCAAATCTAGGTACTTTAGGCGTTGCAGAAGCAGATGCTTAAAAATGCATTCATGCTCGCATGAATCTTATTTTGACACAAACTCAACCAATTCTCATATTGCAGTGTAGCCTTTCACCCAACTCATTTATATTATGAGGAACAGGAAATGAAGAGGATAATAAAACTTGGTAAGGTGAATAATGGTTTATATTATCTTGACGAGTAAAATGAATGAAGTAAGCTCCAAAGTTTGTGACCCTCTTCTCTTCATTCAAAGTCATTTGAGTCCACACGTGATAAGAATTGTCTTCACTTTCATCTTGGTCATCTGCCGTTTCATGATACTACCTCAAATCCTTAGTATAAGAACTAGTTGGAGATTTAATTTGGTCCTAAATATAAGACTCCAGTCCACTTTGTCTTTAATCCTTATCTATTTTGCCCCCAAGTAATGTAATTGAACATGTTAAAGAGTTTTCATCAACAAGTAGTTCCAATGCACATGATTAATAAAAGTATTTTATGAAAGAAAATATTTATTTATTACAAATAACTAACTTACTAATTTTCTTTATATCTGTAAATTAGTTATCTAGCTCTTATCTTAAGGACCAAAAGTAGTATTAAACTAATGTTCTTTATATAAAGGATTAGCCATTGACATTTTTCTTTCTGAAGTATTATGGCTTGCTCCTACTCAAGATTCTAAAGTTTGTCTCCGTAACACAAATCAATTTAGAGCTAACCTCCTCTCTTGACTTCCTAATCAAGATTACGTCATTAGTAAAGAGCATGCACTTGGGATTTCATTTCCTCTTGAATGAGCTTAGTTAGAGCATCTAAAATCATGTTGAACAGATAAGAACACAAGGATAACTCGTTATGTAAACCAATACCCATAAGGAAGCCCTCTGTCTCACCTAAGCATGCTTGCATTAGTTGCTGCTCACTCATAGATTTCCTTTACAGCCCTAATATAAGAAACATGAACACCTTTTCTTTTAGAGCTTTCCAAAGCATCTCTTTTAATACCCAATCATAAGGTTGTTCCAAGCCTTTTTATCATTTCATGGGCTTAAAAATGATCTACTCAATTCTTTTTTAGCAAAAATGTAGGCCTTTAATATAACAACAACAAAGCTTTATCACACTAGGTGGTATCAGCTACATGAATCAAACAGTACTATAATATTCTATCAATAACCAGATCTTTAAATAGATTATTAACTAAAAGATCTCACTCAATAACTTCATTTAATGCTTTCTTTGGTTTTTCCTTACTTTTTTTAAGAAGATTCCATACTACTTGATCAACCATCCTTGCTAATGCATCTAATTGCCTTCTTTAAACGTGTTCAAACCACCTCAAATGATTTTCTAACATTTTCTCTTCAATAGGTGCCACTCAAACTCTTCCGCATAAATATCCATTACGAATTTTATCTTTTCTTGTATAACTATGATTCACCTCAGCATTCTCATCTTGGTGACCCCTACTTTATAAAAGCCTAGCATTCACTACTATATAACATTACTAGTTTTATATAGTACAATAAAACTCTTCTTTTACCTTATCAGGTACTTTTCAATTACAAATAACTCCAATAGTTTTTCTCCATCTAAACCCCCCAACTTGGATTCTATTATTTCCATCTCTATCAACTTCACTATTTTTTTTTCTCTAATTAATCCCAAATATCTAAACTTTGCTACTTGTGGGATGATTTGATCTCCAAATTGAACCTCTAGATCATTTCAAGCTTGTCTCTTATCAAAATTGCAATGCACATATTTTGTCTTACTCAAGCGAAAACCCTTTGATTCCGAAGTTCTTCTCCACAACTCAAGCAGAGAATTAATCTCAGCTTTTGACTCAGCCAAAAAAAATATATTATCGGCAAAAAACATGAATTTAGGGATTTCTTCTACCGTTGTTTCACATCTAGGCATTGTAACACTAGTTATCGCCCAGGAATGCTAGGCACCCGTAAACTTTCTAGGTGCAAATTTGTCTCGAAAGTTTAAAATCGTAGTAATATTGCCCCTACCAATTAAAAACTACCACTGAACATTAAAAATGTTAACTATTAACCTTAGTTTTTTAATGGTAAGAAGAAATATTGCTACAATTTTAAACTTTTGGTACAAAGTTGCACCCAAACAACTTCAGCATAACTAACGCTCCTGAGTAAAAACTTTCATGACAAATTTGCACCTTAACCCAAAAATATTTTCTCAACAACACTACTCATTGTAATTTTGTCTTTAAAGTTTTTTTTTTTTTTTTACTAACACTCAAGCACCTTAAAGTAATTTTTGGCACAATTTTTTCAAAATATTTTATTGATAACCCTCAACACCCGAAAACATCATGACCACGATTACGCCAAAAAATACTCATTGCTAGTGAGAAAATGCATTTTTAAAAAATTAATCAAAAATTATTTTAGGTATTGAGTGTTACTAAGAAAATACTCTAAGAGCAAAATTATACCAAATTAAGGTGTTCAATGTTACTGAAAAAATATTTTGAGGATAAAACTACATCTTAACCCTTAAAACAAAAATATTTGGAACAAAAAAAGGTTAAACATATGCATATGATTAAGAGAACAAAATGCGATATGTTCAATTTCAGTCTTAGTGGACGTTGTTTCTTTAGGTTAAAATGCAAATTTATTCATAAAGTATTCCCTCATAAACATTTAAGACCATAAAGCGTTCTTGAGTCTATCTGCACACATGATCCTCCTCAAATAAAGTAAAAATGTCATGCCCATCAAATGTAGCTAGCATCCAAAACCTTATAATACATAGATATCAAGTAGGTCCCATCCTACTAACGTAACGGACATTAGGCATAAAAAATGGACGTCATTTTTACTCCAGCAATATTTGGGAAGCTGTAAAAGTGCTTTTTAAAATATTTTTTCACAAATCGAGATAAATTCCTCCACGTATTTATTTGTATACTGTAAAATCGCTTTTAAAACTATGTTTGTTTCCATCCAAACAGCCCCTCCATCTAAGAACGTTTATCTGTACTGTTGCACCAAAGAACCCTTTCAAATGTCCATAAGAAAATACTACCAATTTGCATCTTAATCTTTCTTCTTTATATCATTATATTTGAGTTAACGTTTACGGAGCAAAAATGTCATGTCTCTTATTTTTATGATAAACCACGCTAAACTAAAGCAGGCGAATTTTATATGTTATGTTACGCTCAAAACTTATGTGAGACGCACGTGAGAAAATATTAAATTAATAGATTCGCACCTCAATTCTGAGTTAAATTCTCTAAATATAATTTTTATAATAAAATAACCACAACCACCGTCAAAATAACACTAAAAGAAATGATACTGTAGCGCTAATGGGAGGAGTACTCACCGCAACAACAGTAGCGTCGTAGAAGCGAACATCTTCAGAGTTATACTGATAGCAGGCACAGACGGTCGTTCCTGGTATGATGCTGCGGCACTCATCGTCTTGGAGCTGCAACGAAACCGGTCTGAACCGCTTCTCGAACTCTTCCACCTCCTTCAAGCTATTGAAGCATTGAGCTTCAAACACCTTATCGTGACTGTCGCCGAAATTCAGGAACTTCAGTCTCAGAACTTCTTCTTGCTCCAGCACAACCCTCACGGAGTACCACGCTTCATCGTCATGGCTCCTGAACTCGACATTGAACTTTGATGCATCATCGGCCGCGACTTCGTTCTCCGATCGTGACATTTTGGTTTGGAACCAAGAAAAGCTTGCAGTTGAAGCTAAGAATCGCAGAAAATTTCAAATGCAGAAGAAGAATTTGAAGATTCTAGAAGTATTTCACCCCGTTTTTGTCGCAAAGCGGCTTCAGAAAACGCTGCGTCTGGAAGATACTGAAATTCCTAATAATTCCGCTCACCATCACTGGCACTGCAAAAGGAATCGGGAAAACTGGAAATGACTATATTGGCCTGAACTGCGAGCTTTTCTTGGGTCCAAACCAAAAACAAAGCCGAACCAATTAGGCATGGAACGAGGGACGGAAGAAAGAGAGACTGACCTAGCGTCTCATTTGCAGGAGAGCTCGTGTTTCTTTTGGCAGCCATTTTGGGTCTCCAAGCTCGCAGAGAAAACATTTAGAATGAAAAAACAACATCTACATAACTATATATGAAAATTGTATAGCGTGTGAATTATGGGGGATTAATTAATGACGCATTTTAAAAGACGAAATTTCACACTATTCAACGAATCTTTGACTTATTAGAATCATCCACGAATCAATCAATCAATGAATAAAGCAAGTCTTATTTAAACCTTTTTTTTTGGGGGACCTGGTTTCTTATCTAAACTTTTGAACCTGACTCATAGTATTATGTGATTCATGTATCTAAAGTTATGTGATTCATATAGAGTTTGAATGAATTGCGCTTGGGCTTCACGTTATCAATTAATGGATTCAAGTTTATAATTATAGTAGTCAAGGTTTACATTAACACCAAACACTATCATCAAGTTATTTTTCAGAGAGATTATAAGTTCAAATCTTATATAACAAGTATAATAAATGTGTGAGTCATGTTTCTAAAAAAAAATATCTTCAATAATACTATCCGTTCCTTATTATAAGAGACATTGATGCTTATGACATGTTCCCATATATAAGAGACACTTAAAAGTTGTCTCATTTTTTGTATTGATTTCCTATTTTTTCCTATTTATTTGTCTCCAATCATACTCTCTCTCCCTCTCATTCTCTTTCTTTTAATAATTTAATTGTCTCTCATACTCTCTCTCCTTATAATGGGGCATTGTTAGGAAAAACATTATACTTTTTACATATTAATGTTCTCAACTAATTTTAATTTTTTTTTATCAACATAATTTGATTTTGTCTCTTATAATAAGAAATAGAGGAAGTAGTAAATATTATTATAGTTGTATCAAGTTCAGCACCAAAGAAAAAGCTTGTATCTTGATGTTTGATTATGGCCCAAGTATGCATTGGGTTTTATTGTGATCACATACTGTGCCTTTCATTTTAAAAAAAAAAAAGTTGCATTGGGCTTCTATTGATTTCTAATTTTTTGGAAGGAGTTTCACCAATTTAAAAGCATGAGATTCTTTTGTCCGTTGGTAAGTTGACAGTGGCTATCAAACCTAGTAGAAGAGATTAATCTTCACAATATTGCGAATTAAAGTTTGAATTCTCATTTAAAGAGGTGCCTACATTTAGTGGGAGAATACTTGTTCTTGGCCTAAAAAATATATAATTGACAATCATCTGAAAAGGGATTAATTAGTTAAAATTAATTTATTGTACTAAAGATTTAGCTTTCCACCACAAGATTATGACCATTTATTTTATATTTCCCATGGAAATAATAAATATTACCATAATAAGATGCACATAATATTAGTACTAGAGCCTTTCATTGACTCTGATCAAAAGGAAAAGGGCGTATGAAAGCAGAGTTCAATTCCCAAATCTTGAGGGTGGCCTTCATGTTAATGGCTGTTGCATTGTTGAATAGAAACAACCTTGCTGCTCCATATATTGCTTCTGTTGGATAAACCCTAGATGTGATCACTCTTCTCCCCCCTTGAGCAAAGCTCTCAATGATTGAATGGTCAACCTGATCGCATTCAAAGTTTGAAGACATTAATTCTCATTAACTTCAACATTATGTGAAATCTATAAACTATAAGGGCTAAGTGTGTGTGTGTGTCTCAACAACTAAATTCAAAAGACATTTCCAGTATATATACATAAGAGCAATTAGTGTTTGATTTTCACTTACCAATACCCTCATCGACATCTCTCATCATTGAGCACTGGAACTTCAGTTCCATAAACCGTCTTTGTGACATCAGGAGCTTTAGATGACCTGCATAATCCAACAATTTATATTCAAGCTATTGGTTTTGTGTACATACCTAAATACTGATTTAGGTTTCTAAATGAATTCAAAATTCATGCAATTCCAACAAAATCATTTTAGACTAAGATACCATAGTTGTTAATGCAATCATGTGTATTATTGTTGAATGCATGAAACTTAATATGAATTCTCCATAGCATTTGTATATAGAGAACTTAGTGAAAAGCAATGAGATTCCTAGTCTCATACCTGTTTTGTTCTTACTACAACTAAACAGTGTATAATATTATAGAGTCATATATGTATATTATACTTAGTATGGTTAGCACTGTATTTCCACTTTTGGTCTAAGCCCAACCGACAGCTTTGGAGAGGGAAGGGAAGTTACTTTAACAAAGTTATAATGACAAAATGATAGCATGTGGCAAAAGTGAAGAGAATTTTGGGGAAAACAACAACATAAACCCAAAAAATTTGCGAGTTACCTACTTGCCATTGCAAATAAATGGAGAAAAAAACGACTTTTTGGGTCTATAAAAGGAAACAGACACCTACAAGACACTAAGGAATATAGACACAGCCTCTCAAATAACATTAGAAAATTCTCTCCAAGAATCCTTTTAATTTCCTATGCACCAGTATAAATCCACACAAATCCGATGAAGACCCACATGATCCAACACCCCAGCACATCTGTGGCATAGGCATAGATCAGCATCATGTCAATTTCTAGCATTTAGTATATGCATAGCGCTTCTTCTGTGTTCCACCTTATTTCTGTGTAATTTCTTTCTTAACATGACTACTTGTGGATCATCTGCTTTGTGTGTGAATTCTCTTCTCTCACACAAAATTTGAAAAGATATATAATATCTATTTTGATCTAGTACTTGTTTCGTTCTCCCATATGAGAGAATATGACATGCACATTATCCTCAATATACATCCAAACCAAACTTGAGGGCAAAACGCTTTATGTATTGTATAATACTAAAGTTGTATCAGTAATTAATGCATTCTCAATATGGGTGCACCATAAAACTAATATACCAAGCTTCTAACATCATCTTAATCGAATTATTTCTTTTCAAAGAAAGAGGAAAATCAGAACCAAAAAATGAAAGTTTGTACATACCTAGTTTCATCAGCACAAAAAAAAGTAGTTGAATTTTGATGGCTTGTATTAGAGAGACGGAAATAAATGGGTGTCAACTCAGAAAGTGTATCATCAGCTATAGTCAAGAGGCCAAATGGTCCCAAAGCACTTCTATCAGTAGCTCCACCACCACAGCCCTCAATGTCTTCATCAATCTCTTGGGAACCCGACGGTTCAATCTCAAATTCAACAAATATGTCCAGCTGGATCAAGTTTCCAACAAATCCAAACAGTTCATTAGTAGACTCTTCAATTGTACCAATTCAACAAACACCTTGAGGGCCAAGCAATATGTGACTAAAATGGTGGTTCTTATTAGGCATCTTTACAGGAAAGATCTTAATTCATGGTTTTTATGTGTTTGTCAATGAACTTTTGAATGAAAACATGAAATGTGTTTGCTAATTTCAAATTCTAATAGTCAGTCAACAGACTTTGAGGCAATTCAACAAACATCTTGTGGCCAAAGCAAGATGTAACTAAAATCCTTCTTTTTAGTATAAGGTATTCTTAGAGGAAACACCTTGGGTTCGTAACTTGTATGTGTTCCCTAAAAAATTTTGAATGAAAACACAAAACATGAATGTTTTTCAAAACTTGATGTTATTACCTGTGTTGCGGAGTCTATGTTCAAGGGCAAAACTGAGCCAGGCTTGAGGACGATGCCTTCAAATTCAAACCTTCTTAGCCTTAAACTCTCTATCTCCTCTACTGGCCACTGAAGAATATTAGTTCCAGTTTTCTTGTCAAATGTAACTGATCTAGGAATAGTCTGCCACAAACAATGGATAATTCACACATAAGTATTGTTCATTTAGGAAAAAGATTGTTTGAGTTTCAATTTGTGTAGGTGAGAAAAGTATGGCTCCTTCATGAGACTACATTTGATACTTTGATCTCCATCATGTGAACTTCAAATATTTTTGGAGTGATAGAGAAAGAAAGATCTTGCAAGTAAAAATAGTGATATAAACAATAAGGGTTAAGGTGTAAAATATTTTTGAAGTAAAATATTTAGTGATTTAATTTTACTTAATGAGCAAATTTTGATTTTGTCATTAACTCTTCAAAAGTTTCAGTAAATAAATGTATGTCAAGCATTATAAAATTTTTTTCTAATATTTATTATGGTGTTGGATGCATTTAAAAAAATATTTTAAGATGCTGAATAAATATAAAACATTTGAAGTACTAGATGCACATAAAAAAAATTTCAAAATATTTGATGCATCACAAAATACTTTGAGGTGTTATATGCGACCGACAAAATATTTCAAGTAACCCAAAACAAAATGTGAAATCAATAAAAATCATACCTGAACAGATGCCCATCCCTTTTTCAAGTCATCATTTTTGGTATCTGTTTCATTAATCCAACCCCAAAGCAAACGTCTCTCCTTGACCGGGTCATAAAATGACTTTGATGCATAGTATCTTCCATAGTCCACTCTTAACCCAATGCCCACATCCTCTTTCGGGTTATCGGGTATCCATGTATCATTCTCAATGAAGTAAGTCCCAAGTGCATAATGATCCACTTTAGCATGATCAATGCTAGCCTTTAACACATGCTTAATTCCTGGGCCATATGCTGACGTGGTCAAGCCTTTAGACCCATTTAGTGAAACCGGGTAGAAGTCCACGCACTCCCACATACCCGTACCAGGAACCGAATGCAAGTGGTGAACATTTTTCTTGAAGTGGATGAAATCTCTTGTCCTATAAACAAATGAAAAGCCTGTCTCTTTTAATTTTGACCCGATGGTTACTCGCCATTGCCCATCTGGCCCGATCCATGCGGTGGATGGGTCACGAAAATTTCTCGGGCCGATGTTGGTTGGAGGCACCAAAACTGGGTTATGGGCATATTTGACCCAATGGAGGAGAAGGGGATCGGATAGGTTGGCAGGGTAAGCGAGATTTTGTACCTGTACCTTTTCAGCGTTGTCACCGGTGTAGAGGATTATGATTTTGCCATCTGGCAACAATGTGGCTGATCCAGTCCATACACCATTGATATCAAATGGCCTATCGGGAACCATGGCAATGGGAAGGTAGAGCCAATGAATCAGGTCCCTTGATACAGTATGACCCCATGTGATGTTGCCCCAAACTGCCGAATCAGGGTTGTACTGATAGAATAGGTGGTACCACCCCATGTGATACAATGGACCTGCCACCGCATGAAACAATCCCCACGTAACATTAATTTTTATCTTGTTTTATTGTGCTCGTGTTTTTTCCACGGCTCCTAAACTTAAAAAACTAAATACCTACTATCTTTAACTCTAAATATATATTAGTTGAAGATTTAATTTAGTCCTAAATACAATAATCAATTTAATTTGTTTTTAATATTTATCCATTTTGTTTCTAATAGCCTCTATAGTAATTAACGTGTGTTAAGAAGTTTGATAAATAAAAAAAGTATTTCAATAACATAAATATTATTTTAGAAAATATAACATCAATTATTACAAATAGCTAACTTATTCATAAATTAGTTATCTTACTTTTATATTAAAGACTGAAAATAGTATTTATAAGGATTAAGAAAATTGTTTAGGTTAATTTCTTTTAAAGAAATATATGATGGGTTTCTTAAAATACCTATTTAATCATTTGCATTAGCAAGTATTCTTTCAAGAAGATCTCTCTCAATAACTGCAATTAATAAAGATAATTTGAAAAACAAATTATAAAGTTAGGATAGAATATAAAGTGAATTGCTAATGGGGTGGTTTGGAAAAGTGATTTTAGAGAATAGATTCTGGAGAAAATAGATCTGTGAAGATAGATTTTGAAAAAGTGATTCTGAGAATGAGAGTGTTGGATAGTGTTATCAGAAGCACTTTTTATATATACAAATTACTAAAAAAAAGACATAAGTTAATATGATAATACAGAAAAAATAGATTTTATGATATATTTTAATTTGAAGGAATAAAATTGTTAATAATATGTTTTTTACCAACATAATTAATAATACATAGATAATATAATTAATAAATAATTAATGTGTATATATATTTATAAAATATAAGATTAAATATATTTATAAAAAATATGTTTTAAAAAAATAACAAGATACATATCATATAGGCCCTCACACTCTCCCTTCTTTCTCCAAAAGCAAAAAAATTTTGCTTTTTCCAAAAAATGGTTTTGGGTCAAAACCATGGTTTGACCCAAAACCATGGTTTTGGTTTTGGAGGGGGTGTTTGGGTAGATTATTCCCCAAACCATGGTTTGGGGTGTCACCCAAACACACCCTAAATCTAAGATAAAAAAACAAATCCCTTGATTAGATTTTATATTTAGAATTAGATTAGAAGTGTTAAAAAATTTGCATCTAGTCATAGACTTGTGCTTGTGCTTGTCCTAATAAAGATTGGCCTAAAATTATTTGCATGACCATAAAAAGTTTGAAAACTTACATGACGACGACCCTATCTAACAGTCAACTATGTAAGCGAATTGGTAGATAGAACCTAAACTTCGTTGTTTACTTGTTTTGGAGTTTTCCATAGTACTTTTCACAATTCAAATTTGACTTCACACCTTCATTATAAAAATCCAAACTCAAAATAAAGAAATTGCATAATGCGTCGTGTTAGAGTTTCCATTGAAAACTTAAAATTAAAAAAAAAAAAAGCTTTTAAAGAAGTTAGTAATTAATTAGATAAAAAATAATATTTAATTACCAGCCAATGTAAACTAACCAAATTTCATTTATTTTGTCAAAGAAATGCACATGTGCCTATTTGTTTGAGAATTATGTTGATGGGAAAATAAAATGAGTAAAGCTATTCAAGTATTCAATCAGAAAATTATGTTATGCATAGGAAATTGAAATTAAAACTAAGTGAAACGTAGACGTTTTGTTTTAGAAGGAAAATTTTTTAAATCTTAAAAATTAAAAAATGTCGACATAATTCCATTGCAATTAAAATATAGAATATGCATATCAAATGAAAAAAAAAGAAGCAAAAATACGCTTTTAGTTCTTTAACTTTATGCATGATTTCAGTTTGGTTTCATGACTATAAAAATAATACTTTTAGTCTTTTAATCATAAAAATATTAATAAAAAATAATGATATTGATATCTTAAATATTAATAAAATATTCTTAAATATTAATAAAATATTCTTAAATATTTGCATATTAAGTTTAGTTTTCAAAACAAACATAATTACTACCAAAAAAAATTATTTAAGTCAACAGTTTTAAGGTTGCAAAATTAAGAATATACATTTTGAAGTTAAGAGAACAAACCAAAAACTAAATATAAAATAAAGTAAATTTTCATATTTTGGGGAGAGAATGACAAAAAAAGAAGCTGAAAATTACAAATTCTAAATCAAGTTTGATAACACAACTTTATTTAATATTGACATATCTAAATTTGCAAATGTCAACAAATTTTTCTTGACATTCCTTATTTGGTATTTTCAAAATTCCAGCTTTCTTTTTTTGGGTCAGTGTCCCTATTTTGAGGTTCATCTAATAAAATGTAGAAGAAAAAGTTATCTATCTAGCCACGGAGGGCAATATTTTGAAAGAGATTAGACTCTCTCGTTGGCGAAATATACTTCTCATGCCCAAAATTTTCGATTATCATGGGCTAATAGTGAAAACTTAATCTATAACTTTGGGGATTAAGCTTAATATTTTATTAGATCTTTTTACGATTGCAAAAATACTCAAATTAATTATTTAAAGAAGATTTATTTTAAATAATTATTTAATAAATATTATTCTATATTTAATAGTAAATAAACTATATAACAACTAAAAATATTACTAAAACAGAAAACGCTCAATATTTAAATCAATGACATTGGTATATTATATTACCAACAAAATCTTATGCAAAGTTTTTTGCATATATAAATTTTTCTTTCAAAAAGATATTGCACGATAATGAGGGGGATATGTTAGATGCAAAGTCACATGCATGATAGTGGCTTCAAAAGGAAAAAGGTTCAGACCATCAAATTAATGTGGCCAATAATTTCCTTTTTTTTTTTTAATCTTAATTGGTGTATATATTGGTCAACAACTTGTATATATCTTCAATGATCTAGAACCACATATATTTTTATTTTTTATTTTTATTTACGTAACTGATAATAGATTGGTTTACGTCACATTTTTAGAGACTACTACCTCATCAAAAAAAAAAACCTTAAGAAATTCAGTAATTTATTTTAATTTCCGTTTGGTCATTTAAAATAATTATAATTTTTATGGCTGTTGCAGTAGTGAACATTAACTTGATAGACCACTTACTAGATTTTTCTTTTGGCCAAAAAAATTACTAAGGATTTTCTAATAATATATTAATTAAAATAAATACAGAAAAATATATAGACATTTTTGCCAAAAAAAAAAATTAAAGAGATACGTACCGTCAGGATCTGAAGACGAAGAACCAACCAAAGAGATATGTACGGACACCACACCAAACAGGAACCCATTTTAAAAAAAAAAAAAAAAAAACAGAGAGAGATTGTTAGTTAACATGTTTGTCTTCATCGTCTGTGTATATAAGTATAAAAAACTATGCTATTTATAAATTAAAAATTTATATGTTATTATGCACTGTAAACAATAGTATCATGCATGTGGCATATTATTTACTATATTAGTCCTTATCATCTATACAATACTATAAAGAATTCTTATTTAAATCTCATATGAAGCATAAGATTATAAGATTCATGTTTTATTCAACATTAATATTAATATCAATATATCAATATATATTATTATAAGAATTAACTTGTTCACAAGTCACGACCAATGAGATTCCCATTAAACTCTATACAAAACATGAAGTTTCTTTTTAGTTTAATAAAAGAAAACGTGTCATCATTCATTGTTCATTATAATACAATTTAGATAATTCAAAATCTGATATGAATGATTCATATTAAAATTTTTACTATATAATTTTTCAATCATAAATTTATTTTTAAAAAAGTGTCAATTGTACGATTATCTTTATTTTAAATTGTATATATATTAAAATAAAAAATTAATTGAAGTAAGCACTTCATGCTAATCACAATTATGAGCATGAAATGTGCTCCCAAGTATTTTACGCGCTTGAGTTATAATTCTTATATAGTTTAACATATTTTGTTCTTCAACTAGTAATTTTAATTTTAAAAGGCAAACTTATTTACAATCAATATGCTGAAAAAACAAAAGTTAGATGATAGCTAAATTTGGAAGGTTAAAGCATGGACCCCGAGCCACCAGGCGGATCTCACCTGCCATTCAAATTCTGACAAATCATTTCAAATATGAAAAAAAAAATCAATAAATAACCAAAATTTTGACTCGCCGATGATTGTGCTCAAATTCTCGAGGATGACTGTAAATTAAAAATATGTGGTTTATCTATGATGTAAGCTAATTTTATTTTATTGATTTCTTTCAATAAGATACTTAAGATATTTGATTTTTCTGAATAAAATTATTTCTTCATTTTATAAATAAAAATGAGCATGAAAAGAGTTTTGGTTTCCTTTCAAATTTGTAGGACTCATGTTTATCTGTACTGCTGCTTGTACTTTATATCCTGACATGATCATGATTTATAAATAATGTCTTTTTATAAATTCGATATTATGTTCGTGTATGTATATATAGGGTAAATTAGACAAAACTTCCCTAAATTTTGAGCGAGATGCATGTAATTTCCTTAATATTTTAAAGTCTAGATTTAACATGGCCTCCCTGATATTTTATTTGCTATTATTTCTTTTTGAGAGAAATCGTCACGTTAAATCAATACAAGACACGCAACATCCGTAAGTTATTAATTTTATAAAAACCTCTTGAATTTTAGACCAATTGCATATGCACCTTGACAATTCAAAATGTAAATTTAATATGTTAAAGTTCAGGAAATTTCATGCAATTGACTTGAAATCTAAGGGGTTTTATAAAATTATTAATTTGAATAGGATGTCATGTGTCTTTTTTTTTAATATGACATGGCAATTTCCATAAAAAAGATAACGATCACTTAATGACAAAGAGTTCATGGTTAAAAAAAAAAGAAAAAGAAAAAAGTTACGAGGTCAAATTTAAACTTTAAAATATTAAGAAGTTTATGTGAAATTAACCAAAATTTAGAAGAGTTTCGTATGATTTAGCCAAAAATAAAAGCCACAAATTATACCATGACGTGGAAAATTTTAATGCGGGGAATGAGCTGAAGAGCTTGGCCATATAAGCTATATAGAGTTTGAAAAATAAGTTGCAATAATGTCCTATATTACATATAAATATTACTTATGGTAGTAAGATATGAGATTACAAGATAATATACACATAAAAAATAAAACAAATGGCAGTAAAAATACACATACCGTTCATCCAATTCTTTTGGGGTTGAAAATGATAAGCAGTTCGTTGCCAAGAGAACATAGCATTGGTCCAATTATAAAAAAGCTTATCCGAACCCATCAGTGCCGGACTGGACTTGGCTGATGCTCCTTCCTCCACCCCTCTCGGAATCCGCCACCTCTCTCCAGACGACGTAGTTTCTTCTCTCTGCTCCCTATTGTTTCTCACCAATGCAACCACCGATGCCAGCACAACGAACGAGCACAAGACCGCCACCATGACGCCCCGCCATCGCCGCCGGTAAGTCTCTGCTGTGCGTGGCGGCGCATCCAGCAAGGGATTGCGCACTTGGTGGGCATGCTCGGTGGCCTCCATTGAATCAAGCTTTGTGTACTGGTAGGTGAGTTTCGATGCTCAATGAAGAAGAAGAAGAGAACTTTGTATATAAAGACACACACACACACACACACACAAGAGAGGAAGGTGGGTAATTAATGGTGATATTATCATAAGGTGATAAGTTTAGAATGAAAGGATCTGGAAGAGAAGAGATAGGAGAAGATTGTTTAGTGAATGAGGGAGTTGTAAAGGGGGGGTGTTCAATTGAAGAGGTATGGGAAAGTTAGTTGGCGGTTTCAACAAAATTGGATATGTGAGAGAGAGAGAGAGAGAGAGAGAGCGCCATGTGAACATCATTTAAACGAAAGACAAGGAGATCTCGAGCCATACGCTTTTAAAAAAAAAAAAAAAAAAGCTAACAAGTTATTTACTGGTCATAAATTATGAACAGTACCATTCATTAGTCAAATCTACAATGGGTAATACATAACATATTGACACGCTTGTGCAAGTTTATGCTTAAAATTAATACTAATGTAACTATACTGTGTTATTCTTACATTTGTACAAACCTTCTCTTAATTTATTCACATTGTATAGATTTCTTAATTTTGACACATGAGCAGAAGAAAGACATAAGTTGCTATTGATTTTTTTTTCTAAGTTTTTTATTGAAATTATTTACAAATTTCTTTTGAATTGTAAAAATTAATTTCTAATACATTTTGAATATTTTTGAAACTACTTACAAAGCTTTTTATTTAATTTTAAAACACGCACAGATTTCATAAAATTGGGGAGACATAAATTTTAAAATGAAATGATATTTAATAAAATTTAAAGAATGCCTTATGTTATTTTTTTAAACAGAATCTATGTAACCTTTTTTTTAAAAAAATAATCCCATCTATTTTCAACGAAGTTCAATAGAAGTCCCTATAATTTTTTAAAAAAAAATGCGCTTTATATACGTAAATATATATATAATATATATCACAAAATTTGTAAAATAAATTATGTAAGCGCTGCACATTTCCATGTAAGTCAATGAAAAACAATGGTAAAAGTTAAAACTTCAAGTCATTAAGCTCATAAGTCATGAGGTGAACAAAATAATTATTAGTTTTAACTCAATAATATGTTCAGTTTGTTGGCCCAAAAATAAACAACATAAATAATCACTAATATTTATTTAAAAAAATACATTAAATAATATTAAAATTTATGCAAGTTGATAATCACGTGCTCAAGGTACAGAAAAATGTTATTTGAACAAAATATAAGGAAATGCGCATCTAATTTTATATTTATATATACGTTCTATAGAGAAATTATGGACAAGGGGGACAAATAGGATGACGTGGATGATTACGTGGAACAAAATACATTGTAATTTGAATTTGTTGTCTAATTCTTGCACACAATCTTAATATTGACCGTTGATAGATTAAACGAGGCTCCACGCAATTCATGGGGTTTGAAGAAGTTTTGGATTATTGATCGAATTTATTAATTCCCGGTTATTAGACGGCTTTATAGATAATTAATTATAATTTATTTTTTCTTAATTAATGTGGGCCAATCTGATTCTTTATTAATTAATACAATTCTCCTAGCTACAAAATAATTACTAATTAAATATATACCTTCGGTTAATACAATCTTTGTTCCTCAAATTTGCCTAAAATTTGATTTTAATCCCTTGAATTTTGAATCATATGAGTTTTAATCTCTCAAGACTCAAGAGGTAAAATAGTTTATATTTTTATTAAATTAGATAGACCAATATTTTAGGCAAAAAAAACTTAAATCACCAAAAACAAAATAAAAATAAATTTGATGTACTAAAAATTGTATTGATTCTTATACTTTTTATTAATAAGTCAAATTCAATGCTTTTAAAAAAATTTAAAAATAATCTCATTAGTACAAGGCTGGATATTGAGAAAGATTTTCAATGCTTATTTCTTGCCTTTTCTTCTATGACATTTTGTCGTTTTTTTTTTTTTAATCATGGGCTAAATAGATTTTTTTTTCTAAGTTTGCTTTCCAAGTCTCAAATTTGTATATTTCTCCTTAGGGGATGAGATCCCTTACCATATAAACCAACAACTTGTTGGTAGATTTATTGTGTTTTAAATTATATATATGTGTACCCATCCATCTTGAAATATATGGGGAAAAAATCACTTTAAAATAACGTTCAAATCTATGTAACAAAAACGTCTTTTAAATCATCATAATTATGTATTATAAATATAATATCAAAAATTCATATACAATTTTTTTTTTGCCAACATTCATATACAAGTTGATAATTGAAAAGTTAATTTTCTATTTAAATTATTTTACCATTGATTTTTTTTTGCCAATTTTTTTTCATTTTGATATGGCTATCTGACAAGACTAAATTCAAATATAATCAAGCCCAATTAAAGCTAATTCTCCCAAAAAAGTTGTCTCCACTTCCAAGATCTTGCACAGTCAATTTTACTTGGATCAATGGCTTGCTGGTGCCAAAAATTTCACCATTGAAAAAAAATCTGTAAGTTTAATAACAAAATATATAGGACATATACCTTTCACATTACCTAGATAGTGACTAATTCACCCTGTCATAATAATAAATTACCTTTTTTGATACAATATAACAATATTACTTTGAATCATAAATTAAGAATTGAATTCTGGCAAAAAAATAATAAAGATTGAATTTCAATGAGATTCCAATAAAAAAAAAAATACCAACAAATCTTAATGACAAATTAGAAGTTATCATTTTCTACTATAAGACTTGTCATTACAAGCTATTTAAGTTGTTATTGAAACTTTTTGGTAATTATGTTTCTTCTTTGAGACTTAATTGCAATTCTCTCAGGAAGGATTACAATGAAGTCCCAATGAAAAAAAAAACCATCAACAAGTCTTAATCATAAATTAGAAATTGTCATTTTTTACTTTGAGATTTGTTATTACATGCTACTTAAATTATTATTTGGAATTTTTGGTAATTATGTTTTTTCTTGGAACTAGATTGCAATTCTCCCTTTCTTTAATTCACCTCAAACTTCAGCCAAACATATATTAACCTAATTTAATTACAAAACGGAACTAATCAAGTATTCACAGATTTGTCACCCACACGCAAGTCATTCGACTTGAGGTTAAGTGCTATATTTTACAAGCCTTATTTTATTTTTCAAATAGAGCTTCCATATATAACTGATTAGAATAACGTCTATGGCAGAAATTGTTGATATAGTTATCATATTTAGGCTTTGTTTGGGGTCATGATTAATGGCCTATTTGAGATAGCGTTCAAAAACACTTATAAATATATTTCATGTAAATCGAGACAAAATTTTTTTCACATATTTATCTCGTATTCCATAAATCATAATTAAAAAGTCATTTATAAGCAATTCCAAATAGAGTCTCAATCTCTCCAAATAATCCATTTCACTTTTTCCAGCTTAAAATCATGGAACAAAACTTCTAGATTTGAATGATTTGACTGGGTTACATTTCATATTTTCTCCCCTCCATTTACTTAGCCTTAAACAGCCGTCATTTTGAGTGGGGAACATAGCAATTCATTATATTTAGATTTAATAGCTTTATTTTATTAGATTATATGTGTTCTACATATGAATATTCGATTTATTTCTGAATTAATCTCTTTTTATTTAAATATTTTCAGGGTTAAATTAAGAATATTTTAGTCTATTTTAATTAAATTATATTATTTTAATCGATTAAATTGATCCTTACTTAATCATTTCGCAACTGTGTTTTATGAATTATTTTATATTATTACCTTTTCGCCATCAAATTTTCCAACTGAGATTAAAATATAATGAAAATATGAATATTTAATAGATATATGTCAAGCATATGTTTCTTACGGGCAACTGTTTGATTTTGAACCCTCCACTTTTTTTTTTTTGACCGGAGAACCCTCCACTTATTCTGTTATGGTTGAAACCATAACTTAATGATGTTATCTATGTTTAGTCATTCTACATAACTTGTTCGACCTTCCTATTTTGGAAGAGAAAGTTGCTTAGATTTTCTCTTAAAATTATTTATTTTGGGTTAATCTAATTGATCAATAATTTTTTAAAAGTTGTAAAATGCTTCAATATGTAATTAATTAGATTTAGAAGCTTTCTTTCGCCATAAGAGATATACAAAAAAAAATGAAGGTTTTCCTTTTCCATAAAAGCGAGAATATAGAACTGTCACTAATAATTTTGTGGAAAAAACCTTTTAATTAACATCTAATCTTCATTGCTTTTTATTCCCGAGTCTTCTTTTCCTAGTTATAGTAGCAATCCCTCTTTATTAAATGTAAGAGTTCATTGTAACCAAAAAAATATATATAAGAGTTCATTGAGAGATTTGCTTCTTCTTTTTTTTGTTAAAATGAAAATTCTTGATTACAGGACTAACAAATATTTTTTATGAATAATCTAATCACTATAAAAGGAGAAAAATAATTAAAAGATGTCACCAAATATATTGAATATATTAATTTTTGTTTTTTTGACCAACTTGAATAGAGCATGAATGATAAACAATCCACTTCCGAAGACAAACTGGCCCGCTTAGTTTGGCAGCATTAAAATAGAACTAGAATTTTCTCCCCCATGCGATGCATAAGATGATACATATTAAAATAGTTAATACTGCTAAAAAAATATTTTATTATATTCTTTCCCTTTTAATCTATTGTAAAGAAAATTTAACTTTTGTTATTTACTCCCTCCAATTCAAAATATAATATAAACTTTATCTCCTTATTTACTAAGAAATTAGTTAAAATCAGTTTAAAATAATAAATATGTAAAACATTTTTTTTTCAAAATGTACCCTTGCTAATAAAGAGAATATATAAGTAAAGGACGTAATAAATGAATAAAAAAAAAAGAGAATGTGTGGGAGCGTAATTGGAAAAACTTATTAGATGCTTAGACAAAAGTAAATATTATCTTATAAAAAAAATCAAATCCCTCGAATAAAGTTTAGGTTATATTTTGAACCGAATGGAGTATTTTTAAAAATATTATTTTTCTTATATATGAATTAGACAATGAAATATAAGATTCAAGTATTTAATGTTGACAATTTT